AAGGGGTCTTTGATTCTTTGAAAGAAGCCAAAGGATCAAGGACCTCATTTTGCTTTTAGCTCTGATCTGACCCATCGGAAAAGAGGGAAAACCAAGAGAGATCACTGGCCTGTTGGCATAAATATTCAATGGAAATTCAAATGACACCAAGCCTGTATTGACCCACATTTGTTACTTGAGCAACAAATGCCCCCCCACCCCCCACCCCTGCTTTGGGGGACAAAGAACAGAATATTTGGCCCTAAGGACTGTTCTGAAACACTGAGGGTGGGTGGTCCCCAGACAAGAAGGGAAGGAAATAAGGGGCGCCTGGGTGGCTCAGTCTTGTAAGCTTCCGCTTCTTGATCTCAGCTCAGGTCTTGATCTCAGGGTCGTGAGTTCCAGCCCCAGGTTGGGCTCCACACTGGGTGTGGAGCCTACTTTAAAAAAAAAAAAAAAAAAGACGAAGGAAATGAGAGTGGAATCCTCCTCACACTTCTCCCTTGCTCTTTGGCCTTCTCCCTGTCTTTCTCTTTCCACTTCACTCACCTCTTCTCTCCCTCAAAGCACAGGCCTAGGGAACAGCGGGCATTTGCACTTGCCCCCTCCCCCTCCTCTCCTCCTATTCGCTCTCATCTACACCTTTACCGCCACACCCTCCCGCTGCTGGGTCTCCCTCCCAGAGAAGAGGGTGGAGTTCCTTTCCCAGGACCAGCTCAGTTTCTCCCTGAACCTGGTTCGGTTACTCGTGAATCCCTTGCTGTTGTCAGTGTCTTAACAGGCTTATATAGCCTGCCTCTTCTCATCGGCTGGCATCCTTGATGTTTCATTAATCAAACCTCTTCCTTGTCTTCCAAGAGTTGGGTGAATGCTCATTGCTATCTGATGATGAGGCCTAAGGAATCTGAGTGGATGAGCAGAGGAGGCTGCCTGGGCCCTTAATCCTCTGTAACATGCCCTGCAATGCAACATGATGCCTCATTTAACTTTTCTACCAATTTTTATGGATTAAACTCTTAGCATGGGCCAAGGGATTTCCAAAACAGGACGATAACATCTTAGAACGCTAGAATTTCAGAGGCACAAGGGGCTTTGGAGACCATCAAGTTCAGTTCCCTCCATCAAGAAGACGAGTGACTTGCCCATGGTCGTAGGGCAGAGTCAGGCCAAGACCACAGCCCTCCAGCTCCCTATTCAGCCACTTCGCATCGGCCCCAAGATTCTTGCCCCCACTTTCAACCACTATGCCTATGTTCTCGATTTTAACGACCCCACTCATGAAACAGACTCAGGAACTACAAAAGCTGCTACATCCACATAAAGCCAATGGCGCCAAGAGCAGAGGAGTCCATTTTAGTTCCAAGGAAATGCCCATATCCAAAACAGGGAAGAAAACGCTGACCCAAAGATTTTTAAAAAGGAAGAGAGAGAAACAGCAATCTTCACAAGGGTTTGTACGGTTATCTTTATGCTTCAGTGTCAGTGGATCTCCCAGTTAAATTAAGAGAAATTATTTTTACCCAGTCAGGTCACCAAGGACTGAAGGGTTAAAAGAGTGGTCTCAAGACATGAGTGTTTTGGTGGGGGAGAGGTTTGTGAATTCAAGTAAACTAATTGGAACCATATTTGGGCTCCCTTGATTACTGAATAGAAATTTGGGATCATCTAAGCAGAACTAGGAAGAGGATTGGAAAGGAGAAATTTATTGTCAGAAAATTTCAGATCTACACTGGCTGAAGATTATGAGCTCTTCTCCAGGATTGACGTCCATTTTGCAAGCCAGCAATTAGTCCAGAGTTACAACGGGTTGGCAACTTGTTCCTGTAGTTATCATGACAGGTGGTAACAACGTGAGCTATAGGAACTATAAGCCAAGTTATGGGATCACCCCAACAGGGCCAACTTAGAAGACTGTGTCTCTGGTTTGGGACTGATTCAACCATGGCCTCATGGGTAGCAACTGGGTGTGTACCTCCGAGTATGTACATCCAAAAGCCCCAAATGTCTCCCAGCTTTTGTGTTAGGCATCCACGTATATACATGTGGTAAGTTAAAGAAGAAACCAGATTCATGTATTTAGAAAATGAAATACCTCAGAATCAGATCACGTGGGTATGGCCAACTATGTATATGGTTTCAAAGCTTTAAAAAGTTTTCCTGTTCTTTTTGAGTCTTAGGTAATAATAATCATACTGATCCATCAAGCTTTACCCATTAAGTATTAATTAAGGGTCAAGTGTTTAGAGGCTAAGGGGCACTGGGAAGAACAACAACAAAAACGGAATAGAGAATTTCTGCGCGTCCAGGACTGCAGAACTAGGAACGAAGTATAGAAGTTACAGAGAAGCCAATTGTGCCGGATTTAAGATTTTCTAATAATCAGAGCTGTCCAGCAACGTGGGGGCGGCATGGGGGAGGGAAGCATGGAGGCGCACTCTGAGGTAGGGAGCCCCCCTATTCTGGATATTTTAAGGACATGTAAAATGGCCATCTGTCCAAGGTGGTGTTAAAATAGGACTTCTGCATATGGTGGGAGAATGAATGAATTGATCTTCAAACTGAGAATCCCTCCCAAACTGAGAATCTGATACACAAAATTAAAGATAGAACATAACTAAATTTGCCTTGTGCCCTTTTCTGTGGCCATTTTTCAGATATACTCCCCAATCAGGCTCTGAGGAGTCTGCAGAACAGGATTTTGCCTCGTCTGTAAGCCTTCTAGGTCTCTGACTGCTCTCTCCATTGATCCCAGTGCATCCTGGACTGAAAGAAAGCCCCCAGAGCCCCCCACCCCACCCCCCCGGACCAAGCCAAGAGGCTCTACATCCCCCAGAGTCTGGCTGGTCCCTGGGAACTGGGTGGGCCTAAGCTGGTCTCCAGAGGGAAGCAGGAAGAGTTGAGAAAGTCACAGTCTTTCTGGTCAGTGGAAGGGATGTCTTTCCTTTCCTCAGAGATGTGCCCTGTCCTCCTGGGAGGTAGCCAGCCTCTGTTCTGGGATGGAGTCCACTCTCGGTTGGCCCTTGATGGCCTTCTGCCAACTCCCAGGATAGTTTAGTGCCCTCAAACAATGTAAAATCTGGGGGGTCCTCTGACCAGGACGCCAGACCGGATGGCCTGCAGCCCTCCCTCCAGACAGCACTCCACCCCCGCCCCATTCTTCAGAGTCTGTGGTGG